CCCGCCCACCCCACCCCAGTTCTTGTTAACTGTTAATCAAATCTGATGAAATTTTGATGTAAAATAAGTAAACTATATTAATATAGGTATTTCGTTGGTAAGTGCTTTATGACCCAGCGTCAAGATAACATGCTCAGGTCAGATGTCGAATTGACCTCCACAAGTTATAAAGCTTGACCTCTGAGTAGATACTTATGTTTCCTCTATTAACGATAAGGTTAATTTGTTAACCGCTGATTGAGCATGAAATTGATGACTCGTTGAAGATAACTTTTACTTAATAAAATGTATCTAAAGCGTAACGGATATCTATTACAGTAATTATGCTAATCATATGTTAAAGGTTCATCAATATAGAGATATTCTTTGACAGATACATGGTAATCATTACAGTACGTTTCCCCGCTGAGAGGCACTGGGACATCACTAAAGTGGTATGGGTAACCGAAGGTTCATATTTAGAAAAAATACAGATTTCTTTATTTTCACTCGTACTGGCAGACTCGTGAAATATATAATGTTCTTCCAAACAAACGAATACCATTTCTGCGATTGTATGTATTTGTACCAAATAAAGCAGTTACTATTAGACCTTATGAAACAATTTGTGTGGCTAATGAAATTAGACTGAAAACAAGATATAGAAAATGTCAGTATTGTAAGGCTAATAAAACAATACTCAGGCCTCCTTTAGAAATCGAGTGCTTTTCTTAATTCGGGACGCTACTAGACGTTTATTCGAAATCAAGTATTTTCTTTCTTAATATGGGGTTGACGTATTGCAAAACTGATTAGAAATGTGAAAGTAATAAAAATATTATTTAAGAGAATGAGTTATTGTAACATTGAACTGTATACCAATTATATAAATTAACAAATCGGTAGACATCTGGACAAAGTTAAGGGAGACAGAATGGGTTTCCGTGATAGTGTTTAGTACGACGATATAATGTATAAGGTTAAAGATATTATATATGGGATAATAATTTGAAATGGTTGTCATCTGACCCAAATGGTTGGAGCCGAGAATTGTCATGAATTGATCTTGCACGCATGTGTTCCGCAAGAGTCGGTATTTGGGCCATTCGTATTGCTATTTATTGTTCATTAATGTTTATATCATTAATGCATAATAAAAATAGTCATGGCCCTAAAACTGATATAAGGTAACTTTCATTTTTAACTCGTGTGAAATCACATGTATGTGTTACCAGTGTGTGAGAGAGTTACATTAATCAAGATACAAGGTGGTAGACTCTGCTGGAGGATTTCTTAGTCCCTGAGGTTTATAGCCACAATGATTGGTTCTGTGTAGCGGCACGGTTCATAATATACACAATTCCAGTACTGTATGATAAAACGTCAGAATAATTCGGACTACCTTTTCATGTACGATGCGCAGGGCCATGGTTGCTCAAAGGTTGGTTAGAGTAAACATGTGGTAAGCAAAATGTTCAGACATGAAAATAACAAAAATCAAAACATCTGATATCATTTCACGGCTATTGAATGGTTCAGACAAATAACATGGATGTGCTTTGAGGATTTATTTCGGTTTGAAAACCGCAACTTCCTCTTGGCAACAATTTGATTTTTTCACTAACCACTAGTTCCAAGTTTATCATCATTTGAGCAACCGAGGACGATCTGACTGGTATTTGAGGTAAACCTAATATTGTGTTACAACTACAACAACTGGCAGTCATTTTGGCGCCACAAAATAACATTAAATTAGTCCTTTTATTAGAAATCATAACATTTTTATATATTTGAAGAGAGGGCTTTTATAGACTTTGCCTGTTAACCAATTCCTGTTGCAAGACCGATATTCAGCCGGAAACTATTGAATATCCTCGATATCTCAGAAATTCATGTATAATAGATATCTGCCGAATCACAAGTGACTTACAGTAACCACAACTACTGATATTAAGAGTGGACAATCATCGTCGTAGGTGTTGGTGTTCTGTTACATGTTTTAAGACAACACAGAAGTACAAAAATGAGTTAAACTTTAATGTATAAAATAAAATAAAACATTTTTTCCATGGCATTCCAACAATTATCAGACGAGATAACAGCGAGCACCCAAAACGTCCTGGCTCACCTTGAATACAAGTAAGAGAATAAAAAATTTCAGATTCTATAATTTCACGAAATGCTTATTTTAGAAAAAGTCAATCCCAAATGTCTTTTAACATAACGTACAAGTACGATGTACTTGCCAGACGAGATTATGTCCTCCGTTACTGGTTCCTGTCTCAGATTCATATGCGAGAATATAACCCTGTATTCTTCTATCCCTCGATCACGAATGCCTGCGCAGCATGTGATGCTCCTCGTGAAAAACGCTAATTTAACGTCCTCCCTCATTCAACACTAAATCACGTTTTTGCTATAAATATTTTTTATGTCATAAAGATCTTGCACTGCCCCATGTTTGTTTAGACGATGATGCCGTAACTATCGTCATCTTCTTCCATATATTCTACTACAGAATCGCGCCACTTGACTTTCTTCGTTGCAACACTCTGTGAAAAGTTCTACACTGCTGAACTGTCGCCCACATCCGTAGCAAATGGTGTTGTAGCTATCGTCGTACGCACACTTGCTGTCCTCGAACTGTCGGTCTATGATGAAGCCGCGCCGGGCAATGATGCGACCGTCCACACACGTGCACGTCAGGTAAAGGGTAACCGTTACCACCGTCAGGAGAGCTGTGTATTTCATCTGCAATTAACAAAAATGGAAACTGATAAGGTGTGTTGTACATACATTTCTTTTTTATCGACATCGTCGTCTTGGACAAAGATATGATGCCGGATATGACCCGTATGTAAAAATAGGACTGAAGCAAATTTATTAGGACCATGATTAGGGGATGAAAGTTCCACAAAACTTGAGCATCCATGGGATTATCTGATATCAAGTTTTTACAAATAACTAATGGCAGTTTGACGTCACGTCAGTGTCATTGTGGCAGAACCTCTGGTGCGTTCCGATAATTGGTCATTACTTAACGTCTGCGACTAACTTGTTTAATTAACATGTACATTTCATGAAAGTGAGATGTCGGTAAATTCAGGGTTACGCTACTGATATTTCCACTGTAATATAAACGATTGGATCAATCCCTACTAGACTCTATACATTATATTTAAAGATATCCGAGTTACACAGTCAGCCAACGACACGATTAACTCAATATCTACCATATACAGCATCCTACGTAATAGATATCAGAGTTACACAGCCAGCCAACGACACGATTAACTCAGTATCTACCATATACAGCATCTTAGCTAATAGATATCAGAGTTACACAGTTAGCAAACGACACGATTAACTCAATATCTGCCATATACAGCATCTTACGTAATAGAAATCAGAGTTACACAGTTAGCCAACGACACGATCGACTCAATATCTACCATATACAGCATCTTACGTTATAGGTATCAGAGTTACACAGTCAGCCAAGGACACGATTAACTCAATATCTACCCTATACAGCATCTTACCTAATAGATATCCGAGTTACACAGTTAGCCAACGACACGATTAACTCCATATCTACCATATACAGCATCTTTCCTAATAGATATCAGAGTTACACGGTCAGCCAACGACACGATTAACTCAGTATCTACCATATACAGCATCTTACTTAATAGATATCAGAGTTACACAGTTAGCAAACGACACGATTAACTCAATATCCACCATATACAGCATCTTACGTTATAGGTATCAGAGTTACACAGTCAGCCAACGACACGATTAACGCAATATCTACCATATACAGCATCTTTCCTAATAGATATCAGAGTTACACGGTCAGCCAACGACACGATTAACTCAGTATCTACCATATACAGCATCTTACCTAATAGAATTGGATCAATCCCTACTAGACTCTATACATTATATTTAAAGATATCCGAGTTACACAGTTAGCCAACGACAGGATTAACTCAATATCTACCATATACATCATCTTACCTAATAGATATCAGAGTCACACAGTTAGCCAACGACACGATCAACTCAATATCTACCATAAACAGCATCTTACGTAATAGATATCAGAGTTACACAGTCAGCCAACGAGACGATTAACTCAATATCTACCATATGCAGCATCTTACCTAATAGATATCAGAGTTACACAGTTAGCCCACGACACGATTAACTCAATATCTGCCATATACAGCATCTTACGTAATAGAAATCAGAGTTACACAGTTAGCCAACGACACGATTAACTCAATATCTACTTATATAATTTAACACAACGAAAATAATAGAATGGTCTAAAATCGTTTTAAGGACACATTTGGAGGTGCATTACCTGTGTACAGTTAGTAAGTTAGATCCCAATATATGTTCTGATAAATTTTCCCGGGAGTAGAGTCACACGGTGTGGTTACAGTCTGGTAAGTTCTCACGACAGTTTCAAAGTGATATAAAAATCCTGAATGAGTTTCTTAATATCGTTGCTTTGCCAACCTTCGACCAATCAAATACTTTGGAGTTTAGGGCAAAGTACCTTATTGGATAACACTCTCAGATGTACGGTTGTAATCTATACGTATCACGAGGTATTTAATCTGTACAGGTGTGTAACTTCATAGTATCTCCTACCTGTGTAGATATTTAACTATGAAGAACGTTCTACCTGTTAAGCCAATACGTACCATATATTTTCTAATTAATTTTAAAGGAGCCGGGAACTGGCCTGACAAGTATCGATTACCAATACAAACCAGTGTTTGTTATATGATATGATATCCCCACAAATCCATTCCTGACCATAAATGTATTTCCCGTCAAAAAGTGAATCCTTAAATGAAAATTTTGTATTAAGAGAAAGTATCAATACTTATATAATTACTCTATTTACTGAGACTGACGATTGTTGTTCCGGATATTTTGATTACTAGTTAACTTCCCTACTTAACATACATGTATATTGTAAAAATGGAGTGGTCGTTTAATTCGACATATTTCCGATGCTCACGAATTGTTGGTCACTATTTCCGGTCATATGATCAATATCTAAAAGCTTGAGGAATGTCCGAAGTTATCGCTGGACAAGGCCGTTGGGGGTAATACTGCAGATAATACTGAGATTAACTCAAAGATAACACTACAACAGGTCTCAGCAGGGGTCTAAAGCGACGGGTCATCTTTTCTGAACCACGAGTGCAGCACATTTATACATTCACCTCGACTTCAGGACATTCCTGCTTCGTTCCTTACCAGAGTGCTTAACTTAAAATGTCTATTACATCGGTGCATTGTCGGACATGCTGCTCCTCAATATCATCTCGCTAACAATTACCAGGTGGAGCGTACTGCCTGCACGTCATGTCACTTTAACCCCCTCAAAATAGAAATATGTGTTAATAGCGAATCCTCTTTCATGGGTAATCTTTATCAAATGACCATCACTGCTACATAAGAATTACGATCATAGCTTATCCCCTTTCATAAGTTGTATTTATCAAATGACCATTACTGTATAATTCAGACCTTTCCATGGAAAGATAAGAAATATTACAACATTCCCCTGATCAGCTTATGTCTATTCACAGATAATCAAATGACCATTGGTTTTGGGTAAGCTGTCAGAGTAAACTTCATGACTCCTGCATTCTTGTGCTAGTTTTGGATTAAGTAAGAATATCTTTTTAAGTAATTACAGAATATTAAGTTGAAGTGTGTGTGTATTAGGGGTTCGTTTTAGAAAGTCACGGTATATAAGGGGTTGTTTATTTGTTTGTATATTCGGGTTTGCTCGTAAATGTGTATATTGTTGCAAAGTGTGTGTATTTATTCAGGGTTGTTCAAAGATCGAGTTTGTATATTTGGGTTTTTTAAAGTAGTGTGTTTTAAAGAGCGCGTGCATTCAAGGTTTGTTGAAGAATGTGAATTTGTTTTCAGTCGAAATCTGACATATTAATTTCATTTGTCAATTCAAATATTGAATATTTTGAATTCAAATATTAAATTTAAAATAAGTGTATTTACAATTTTGCAATACTTGATACGACATGATTAAGCCTGACATTTTGCAAATGTTAGGGAATATGTCTCGCTCATATGTTAAAAAATGTTAAAAACACCTCTTTTTCTCTTCATGTTCTGAAATTACAGCTTCAACCGGAAGTTCGAGCATTTTAAGAAAGCAACATATGGTGTTACAGAAATGGTTTAAAGTTTTACATGTAGAGCGGATCCAATTAAAGCAAAGATCTCATCTTAAATACATACCACGTAAGGAATATAAAAGCACTTGAGATTGACGCGAAGCGCTTTGCTGTTCGTGTGAACTATTTCAAATCGTGTAGTTGTTTTACTCTGGGGGACAATTTGGAACCCCTTTTGCTTGTTATTCAAGACGTTTAAACTGGCAATAAAACGTAAACTTGGTCCAAATATCAAGGTACCGACTAAACGTAATCGATCTACACATACACTTATTGTAAAGGATCTGTTCTGATTATACACTTCAGGATAAATGCCATATTTTTAAGTTATATTTCGTATAATACAGATTTGCTTACAAATATATTCGTGGTTACGTATTTGTTGGTAAGCAGCTGGTCACATATCATCGTGAGTTTAAGAAAAAAACATTTGAATCATTATAATTGCTTTCTTAAATAGAGGGAAGTGCTGGGTTATTGAAACCATCAAAACTTGTAAACCAAATGAGGGAACAAGTGCTCGCGTTCTATGATAACTGTTTTGACAAGCGCCGGAATTAAATAAGGAAGAAAAAACCGATCGGAACCAAAACATTTTTTTTCCGTCAAGCGTAGAAGATATTGTTTTCCGATTACTCTCAAGGTCTGACAAGACAAGAAATAAATGTATATCAGAAACCCCCCACGTATATTTGATGTGACCTTTTCCATGATCATTATAATTGCATTGTGACAGAGAGAACCTAAGGTTTTGCTGATTTTTACTGAACGAAAGAAATCACGATCAGGAAATCAACTTGAATCTTTATAATTCCTTTCTTAAATAGAAGGAAGTGTTGGGTTATTGAAACCATCGAGACCTGTACACCAAATGAGGGAACAAGTGCTAGCGTTCTATGATAACTGTTTTGACAAGCGCCGGAATTAAATAAGGAAAAAGAAGGATTGGGACCAAAACAGTATTTTTCGACAAGCGTAGAAGATATTGTTTTCAGATTACGTTTGACAAGACCAAAAAAAAAAAACTCCATTAGAAAAAACTCGTATATTTGACTTTATTAGACTTCCGGGTCATTGAGTATACTATCTCAAAAATCCACTAACGCTATTTATTATGGTGTACAGAACCTAAGGTATTGCTGATTTTTATTGAAAGAAAAAAAACATGATCAGGAAAATAAATTCAAAACAACATGAAATCTAATGTATATAGTGCTATTGTTCGTGTACATCCGGTTGTTACGGTACTACAGCCACTAATTCCAATTCCAGTTCCTTTTTGATACAGAAAGAGCAAGGAAACGGCGAATAGCTGTAGATAAATGACATCATTTTATTTGAAGACATGTTTAACAGATGTACGTTAAAATGATAGAAACATATTTACTTGAAAATCTGAAATCTCGTAACAACACTTTTAAGTCACGAGATCACACCCGTGAAGCCAACCCATCCTTAATCCCTTATAACATCTTTCCTGGTCAAGGTTGGGACGATGATCCTTTGAGACACCCGTAT